ATTGAATGTACCATGGACTGCCAAGAAAACAAACAGATTCATCCTGGAGAGGATTAAACCAAGCAACTCCTTGAAGGCAAGGATTCTGGGGCTTCGTCTGACATACTTTGGGCATGTTGCCAGGAGGGACGGGTCCTCGGAGAGGGACATCATGCTTGGGAGGGTGGAGGGACAGCGCAGGAGGGGAAGACCCTATATGAGGTGGATTGATTCAGTGACTGGGGTAATTGGGATGGGTGTGTCGGAGGCAGTGCGATTAGCACAGGATAGAGCAGAGTTTAGGGCTGTTGTGCATAGGGTCACTATGAGTTGCAAACGACTCGACGGCACATAACAACAACAACAACATCATCCATCCATCCATCCACTCATCCATCTGAGTCAAATATATGCAAAATAAACAAGAGTAGGAAGAAGCAACCAGAGAGGCAGAAGAGAAACCAGAAGGGTTAACATAGAAAGTTTTCTGTGAAGTTAGTTCTTCAATGAGAGCACTATCTGCTAAGTGACACTTAAGACCACAAGTAACTTACAGGTGGTGGTTATTAGGTGCCATCAAGTCACGTATGACTCATAGCAATCCTATGAACAAAAGCTCTGAGCCCCATTCTATCCTGTCCCATCCTCATACTTCCTGACAGACAAGAGACATTGAGGCAGTCACCACATCAATCCACCTGGTTGAGGGTCTTCCCGATGCGCCACCCTTCCAGCATCATGTCCCTCTCCAAGGAATAGCCTCTCCTAGCAACATGCCCAAAGTATTTGAGGTGAAGCCTCATCATTCTTGCCTCCAAAGAGTGCTCTAGCTGCACCCTCTCCAAGACATATTTATTTGTTGTTCTGGCCATCCATGGGATGTTCAGTGCTCTTCTCCAACACCACAGCTCAAAGTTATCAATTCTTTATTCTGTCATCCTTAGTCACTGTCCAGCTCTCAGATGCATAGTAACTGATAGTAAAGACTATGGCCTGAATCAGACGTACTTTAGTCCTAAACTGACATCATTATTCTTCAATAATTAGGAAAGGTCCCTAACTGCAGATTTTCCCTGTGCAATGCATCTCCTCACTTCCTGACTGCTGGTACCAAGAGTGTTAATTGTGGATACAAACAAGAGAAAATTTACAGGTGGTTGTTGTTCTTATGTGTCATCGAGTGGCTTGTGACTCATAGCGACCCTATGTACAACAGTCCTAAACCCTGCTCTATCCTGTGCCAACTTTATTGTCTCTGATACACCTACCCCCATTACCCCAGTGACTGAATCAATCCATCTCATCAAGGATCTTCCTTGCTTGCATTGTCCCTCCATTCTCCCAAGCACGATGTCCCTCTCCAAGGACTGGTCCTTTCTTGCAACATATCCAAAGTATGTAAGATGAACCTTCAGAATCCTTGCCTCCAAGGAGCAGTCTGATATCACCCTCTCTAGGACAAGCCTGTTTGTTGTTCTAGCAGTCCATAGCATATTCAATACTCTTTTCCAGCACCACAGCTCAAAGGCATCAATTTTCCTTGTATGACCCCTAGTCATTCTCTAGTTTCCTGATGCATAGCAAGTAACTGCATAGCAAGCACACCTTAGTCTCCAGACTGACAATCGTTGCTCTCCAGCACTTTGGAGAGGTCCCTGACAGCAGACTTTCCCCAGTGCAAGTCGTCTTTTAATTTCCTGGCTGTTGGTACCAAGAATGTTTATTGTGGAGTCAAGCAAACTGAAGCTGTTAACAATCTCAATCTCTTTCCGCCTCAGGCCGCTGCTGCAAGAGGAGCTGCCGGTATGTCTGTGCATCTGAAAGGAATGGTTCCATCTTCTTAAGAGGAACAAGCAGACCTACAGCACTGAGCCCAATAACCTCAAAGCCCGCAACTCCTGCTGCAACAATGGGCTGTATTACCGCAAAACAGTCAGTGGATGTGGAGCCAGCCCCTAACACCAAGGGGGTCATGATAGTGATAAAGCGGAGGTCAGGCCAGAGGAAGTCAGCCACCTCCTACCTGTGGACCACCTTTCACAAGAACGCCCAGGCTATGCTCCGCAGCATCCACTACATGATTCACAAGAACAAGGCCAGCGCCGGGCCAGCGCCATTCTGAGCAACCAGAAGCAGCCCATGATGGTTGAAGAGGAGGTGTACCTGACCCACAAAGAGCTCCTGAGCACCAACTGTCTCAACAATAAAATCAGTTCGTCTCCACCAAAAACCAACCAACCAACCAACCAACCAACCAACCAATCTCAATCTCTTCACCATCTATCATGATGCTGCCAATCAGCCCAGTGGTGAGAATCTTTGTTTTCTTGATGTTGAGCTTCAATACATATTTAAGGCTGCATGCAGTCCTTGACCTTCTGCAGCAAGCACAGATGCACTCAGCTCCAGATATGCCTGCCAATCCCCTAGGAGTTTCTTGGTAAAATATTTTTCCATGATAGAAATTGGGTGAGAGGATACCTGAGCCTCATGGTTGTCAAAACTGTCACCTGGATGGAGTACTGGTTGACATCCAAGCAACAAGTATCTCAGGTATCCCAATCCCCCCGAGACTAATTCCTGCCCTCTCAGACATCACTTCTCATCCCTTGGAACTTCCTTATCCATCTCTGCCCTGTCTTCTCTGGGCATTATGGGCCTTTCTCCACAATTCAATTAACAATAACACAAGGCTGCACCACAGACTCTCCAATAGTTTCTACTGTAACTCATTAGGCAGCTTCTGTGTTTGTCAAGTCTCAATTCAGCAACCAGAGCAGGGCAGAGTTCTCATTCATTGTGGTTGTTACATGCCATTAAATCGCCTGCGACTCACAGGGGCCCTACATACAACAGTTCTGAACCCTGCCCTACCGGAGCCAATCTCATTGTCTCCAACACACACCTAACCCCATCACCCCAGTCACAGTCAATTCGTCTCATCCAGAGTCTTTCTCTCCTGCGCTATCTTTCATCTTTCCAAGTAAGGACTGGTTGGTCCCTCCTGGCCACGTGCCCAATGTACGTGAGACAGCTTCAAAATCCATGTCTCAAGGAGCAGCTTGGTTTCACCCTCTCTAGGTCAGACCTGTTTGTTTTCTCAGCAGTCCACAGTATGTTTAGTCACCATTCATACTGAGCTCATTTCAAGCGAACCTAACTGTCCACAAAGCATTCTCCTCCCGCCCATAAGGATGGACCTTGAGGGTTCAATCAACACTAGTAGGTCCTGGTCCTGCTACTTCAAAGGCCAAGACTGGAATAGTCGCATCACCCCAAGGGCCAGGTCAGTGTGCTGCTCGGCTGTTTCGAAAGGGGTCGCCAGACTTTGCGCGCTCACCTTCTGCGAGCTGCGCGCCCCACCGGGTCCATACACCCAGCGCTCCAGCTCCTCCACACCGGCCTGTAGACGCTGCAGGTCTGTCACAGCCGCCATCGCTGACACCGCCCCACCCCAGCGAGGAACAGCCAGAGGGCGGAACATCCGCCCAAACAGGAAGGCTGACCAATCCGAGGGCACGGGAGCCCTCCAGACCGGAAGTGACTCCACGATCAAGCCTTCAGTACCGGAAGTGATCTGAAGAGGCCGGAGAGAGTTGTCAAAACCTGTCTGGTTACCTAGCAACGGGTACCGCTCCTGGTCTACCTAGTTACCAACCTTTGGTTGTCAAACCTATTTTCTCTCTTCTTTCCCTAACTGGAGGACACCAAAAAGGGTGTTCTCCTACCGTATTCCTGAGGTTCTACATATAAATGTACCTACTATTTCAGGATAGCTCTATTCATTTTCGTAAGAGGCCTCAAAAGTTAGCCTTTACGGTCTTCAGAAGTTTGGGAGGTTAACCGATTTGCCCATGGCCACTCAGCTAAAATCAGTTTTTTAAACTCAGGCTAATGCAAGAACCAGAGCTTCTGTTTTCACTGAGCTGATGCTGTATCTCCATCTTCCTCCTGGGTTCCTTGACTGGATGTGGCCCGGGCATCATATCATTATTTCACCCTCCGTCCCCCTTACCCATTCAAATAAGGAGAGGATACAGAAGAGAAGGAAGCAGAGCAGCTTTATTATCCACATATGGCCTGGGTACCTCCTCTATAACACCCTCAACTCAGCCTTTCACCTGGATCCTAAAAAGGAGCAGAGCTGGGGCCCTAGAAATGCCACTGGGACAGAGAACATATGAAAGAGGATGATGTCACTGGGGTAGAACTCTTTGGTCGACGTTGCTGGAGCTGGCCCAGGAGAAGGTGCCTTTTCTTTACAATGAGGTAGATGTAACACGGTAAGTAAACCCTTTGGCTTCAAGTCCACATGGCATGGGGGAAGGGAAGTCACCTCCCAGAGCGATAGGTATCCCAGAGTGGCTGCCGCGGAATAATCAAGGTGTGTGTGGAGGGGTTGGCTTCCCCCTCCCCCAGCAGCAGGGATAGGACACTTAGTGGGCACTTTCAGGGTGAGGCGCTAGAAAGGGGCCCTGTAGGGGTTGGGGGTGCAGGATTGGTTTGGCTCTGGGAAGCTGGAACAGGCTGGCGGCGGGCAAAGAGTACACCTGGCAAAGGGGTGAGATGGTAGAGGTCAAACACAAGCAAGAGGAGTGAGGTATGAAAACAGAAGGGAACAAAAGTAAGATTTCTAGAAGACTACACACATACCCCTGCCACAGACCAATTAGGATACTTTTCCTTGTGTCAGTGAGAAATTGCTCTGCTACAGATACCTCAAATGGGTAAATATAATGATGCATGGACCCATGACAGGGCAAACATCCTATGGTACTCATGCCAATGAGGTTATGACTTGGACCCCATGCCATGTAGCTACCCCCTTTAACCCATGCCAGTTTATCAAAACCCTAAACCCCAGCTACCCATGCAAATTTTTATATCCTTGACCCTCATGCTAGTAGGGACAGTCTAAAATCCCCATGCCAGTGTAAACATCCCCCATGCCATTGTAGACACCCTGAAACACCCATACCAGTGTAGACCACCCCGTTGATCTCTAGGGCCATGTTGATACTGCTGATGCCACTGCCAGCCAGATTGAGAGGCCCATCCAGGCGCTCTTCTGTCCAGAAGGGGGCAGGAGTCACATTTTTTGAATCAAACTTCAGACTTAGAAGTGCCCTCCTCCATCCCTGTAGACAACCCCCATCCCATTTCAGCTCCACACCTGTAATTACACAGCCATCTATAGGGGAAGCTGTTGGTCCAGCTTCCAACATCTATCAGGCTATGTGACTGTCCCCCCTCAGTACACAGGTCAGAAGTCCCTTCAGCACTAAGTCCCTCCTCACCCCTCAGGGAGACCTTGCCACGGGGCAGAAAATTTGGGGGTGCCCCAGGGCGAGGCAGATCCATGGATCCCATCAGCACAGCCTTCTTCTCTGGGGGCTCCTCTTGTGTCATCTTCTCTCTCACAGGTCCCAGGGTCATACCCACAGGCAATGACAATCGGGGGGTTAGAATTCCACTCTCCTCTGGAAGAAGAGGTGACTCAGCTCTCCCTAATCAGGGAATCACCCAATCCCATTCCTGCATTTGATCATTAATTACCCAAGCTCATACACCGATTTCAATCTCCCATCCCACCTAGAACTTTGGCCTGAAGATTCTGAAGCTAGAAAGCTCCCCTAAAACCTTGTCAAAGTTAGTGCAAGACAATTTAGGAAAGCAAGCCCGTCTGAAGGAGTTCCTTGCTTTTGGTTGTTAAAGAATCCAGGTCTCAGAGAGGTGCGGTGACCTAGTGGCAAGAAGCTGCACTGCAATCCCAGAGGTACGCGGTTCGAATCCACCAGATGCTCAGCTGCAGAAGGAGGGGCATTCTCCTCCTGTACCAGTCAAATTCGATTTGAGGGCACACACACACACAAAACAAACCCACAAAGACCCACAAAACACACACACACACACACACACACACCCAAAAGCAAACCGCAAGCGCACCCACACACAAAAATACCCAGGTCACAGGCGACAACCACCACAGCAACAGGAACCCTGGGAGGACAAATGTGGAGTTGTTTTGGATAAAGTTTCCTGTTTTCTGGGCTTCAACCTCACGTGGCACTCCAGAGCTTCCAAAACTTCCCAGATTACAAACGTCAAGACTCCTAAATCTCAGCGTCTCCCAAACTGTCTCATTTCGCAATGTTTGCTTCCACGATCTGAATACTGCATATTTTATGTTCTCCACACCTCAACCCCCCACCCCAACACCCTGCTGCACATTTTCTGCTCGCACCTTTCTTAATGGGAGTCGGGCTCAGCTGGGCGCACGCGTGCGCTGGCAGGCCGGGGGCGGAGCTCTGAGTCGGGCCCGGGCCGGACGGGGGCGCGGACGGGACAGGGACGGGGCCAGAGGTGGGGATAAGAGCACCCCGAGGGGGCGGCCCGGCCATGCTGAAGAGTGGGGTGGCGCTGTAACCCTGGCGACGGCCCTCGCGCCGGTTACTGTCGATCGCAGCTTGCAGTTCACCAGGCGAGCTGAGTGCTCGCGTCTCGCACTCGTAAGGGTACAGGTATTTCATGTATCTGGGGGCAGATGAGGTGTATGTAGGGCGAGAAACTGGGCCTGGCTGGTGCAGCCCCTTTCACGGACCTGGGGACCCTCTCTAGCTTCCCCCCCCCCCCCGCTCTCCCCTCCACTCACTGTGTGCGCAAAGTGAAGGCGGCGGAGGTGATGGTGGTGGGTAGACTGAGGCCTCGAGTCACCTCCCTCCATACCTTGCGGTTGATGACTTCCACCAGGCCGCCCTTGGCTGTCACCAGGCGAAACAGCGCATACAGGTCCAGCACCTGCTTCGCCATGATGGGCACGCGGTTCACTGGGGTCCCTGGTGGGGATGGGCAGAGAGTCTCAGCACAAAAGGCCCTGTGTGCGTCATTCCTGAGAACTGAAGACGTTGGATCCCTAGATAAGGCTTGGGTGCGGGACAAAGGGAGAGGAGGAGGGAGGAGAAGGGGAGGTGACAGTAATCCCAGGGCTTCCACGTAGTGAGGGAGAGAGACATGATGCTTGCTAGAACAGGACAAACTTTTTCTGTGAAGGGTCAAATGGTAAATATTTTAGACAGTCTTGCCACAACTACACCACTTTACCACCGAAGTCTGAAGACAGCCGTACAAGTTGCCCTGGTAAGGCTACTTAATTCTCTCAGTAACCCCATGAACGTCAGAAGAAAACTGTGCTTCATGGAGTTTTCGATAACTGCTTTATCAGAAGTAGATCGCCAGAGCATTCTGAAGTGCCTCTGGATGTACTCAAACCTACAATTGTTTCTGTTAGCAGCCAGAGAGACACTTAAAGATTTGCACGCAGAATCTACAAATCCAGCCTTAGAAGATACTTACTTAAAGTGAGTATATTGCTTAAAGTAATGGATTCCAATAAAGCTTTATTTTAAAACGTGTTCTAATAAAGCTTTATTTACCACACTGAAATGTGAGTGTTTGAAATGTAATTCTTCTTCTTCCCCCTTTCCTCTAATCTGAATTTTTTTTTCCTCCCAGGCAGTTTGGATTTGGCCCACAGGCCATAGTTTGGGGGAGACATTGGAAAGACTTCCCCACAGATTTGAAATGCAGCAGTCCCCTGAACAGCTGTCGGGGCTGGGGGTGGCTTCCAGGAGCCCAGGGGTTGGCGGGCTCCAGAAGTAGCAACTCAGCCTGCAGACGCCGCAACCTGCAACCCGCGCCGCCCCCGCCCGCCAGTTCTGACAAAAGGGCCTGTCTGCGCTGAGCGATGGGCCCCAGTTAATTCTTTACCGATTTCGTCCCCTCCCTCCGCCGCCTTTGGACCCGAACAATTAGCCGCGGCCTGATTAATGGGGGGAAATTATCGGTCCCGCGGGACACCTCCCCCTGCAGCAGGCGTGGAGAGAGGCCTGGACCAGAGGGAGGCAGAGCTGGGACACCCAGGGCTGGGGTGGGGGTCTTCTGGAATCAGCGTAGAGCCTTCGGTACCCGTAAAAGGTTATTTAAGAGGAAAGGGAGGGGACACTGGGACCAGATGCTCCTGGTTTCCGGGGGAACAAGAAGACCTGGAACCCCATTAAGGAATTCTGGGGAAGAAAGAGATCCAAAAAAGTCCCACAGTGGGGGTTTGAAGGGTTTGGACCAGCCACTGCACTAAAGGGGGGGGGGCGTGCAGTGCAGCCAGTTAATTAGCAGCTTATCAGGCCTCAGTCGGAGTGAGTTAATTAGCTTTGTAGAGAGAGATAATGAGTCAGTCTTCAAGCCCATGAATCTGGGGAGAAGCTAGAGTGATGAACTACCACCCACCCTGCTTCCCTTCTGGACTCTTCCTTTTTCTTCCAAGTCTGAGATTCCTGGAAAGGAGTTCCTTCTTCCCCACAGCCCCAAATCACACAATCACGTTCTACCCCTTTGTGAAATCTTCCTTTTGGTCTAACCTGAGTGTTTCCTGCACATCAAGAGCACATGGCATGCCCTCTGCCAGATTTGAGGGGAGACAAATCTGTAGGAAGGACCTGCTATAGAAAACCAAGGCATTCCCAAAACAGTTCTGGAATGTCCCCCCAGTTAGCCCCCACTAGGTCCCTCCCTTCCCAATTGATCCCATACTCAATAACCTGCCAGTGTTCTGACCACTAATTAATCCTGGGGCAGAGGAGGGGGCAGGGTCAGAGGTTAAAGATGCTATTGAGGGCCCAAAGGACAGGTACTCCCAGCTCAGGCCTCTGGAGTCTCCCCTCCAACCTGCTAAGTAGAGCCATCTCAGGGTCCTCCCACATCACCCCACTCACCCCTCTTCTGCATGAAGCTAAATAGGTCATCCAGAAATTCCTTCCTCTTGGGATCTGCATCAAGTTCGTACAGCTGGGGAGGGAACAAGGTCATGGCCCAGTTCTGCTGACCATCTTTCCCCCTAGATGCCCCAACTCAGTCTTTGAACAAGCCCCCAACCCCTACATGAGTGGGGTCTGGAATGCAAACTTCTTGGCTTTGAGTTCTTTCTACTTAGGAGCAGTTAGGAACATGTTTCTCTAATACACAAAGGCCCTGAACTGCCTAGTCATGACCTAGGCCACTCAAACTCCACAAATGGAAAGCAGAGTAAGAGAAGAAGTAGGAAGGAGGTAAGGAGGCTTAGCCCGCCCTTCAGGAAGGAATCCTTTCCTACTGTAGGAGAGTCTGTTCTACACTGAGAGGGCTGACAAGTATACCTTAGACACTCCTTCTTTTTCTGATTCCTCAGTGGAAAGCTTTTATGCTGTTTGCATCTCTGTACCAAAGTGGGGGTGAGGGGCAAAGATGCCTCTGCGTATGGCCAGAATATCTTGGATTGAAACTTGGGGCCCCTTAGCCCAGTCTCTGTTCTAATCATCTCTCAAGAGCTTTTTATCTTGCCCACTCCAGAAATGGCCACAATAGCCCCATGCTATCCAGCACCTCTTAGAAGGCAAGTGCCAGGGCTTGAAGGAACTAAAGGTCATCTCACCCTCATATCCCTGGGTCTCACTTCCAGGATCACTTCCCAAATATGACCCAGAAGGAAAAAAAAATCTTAGGGTAAAGGAATCATTTAGTGGAGGAATAGTGCCAAGGAACATCCATAGGTAACAAATACCTTATCCTCAGTAAGAACTCTTAAAGTAACAAACACCTTTAAGTAACAAATCCTAGAGATGCAGCTTCAGAATAACACTCCTAACCTTGCCCTAAGTCTTGGACGGATATCCACAAATAACACACACTCTCCAATAATTATAGGAATTATACTCAGGAGGAAGAGTTTTATAGCCACATTTCTAGAGTAATAGATCTCAGTTACACTAATGCCAAAATAGTAGGCACAGATAAACACCTCTGGAAAATATTTAAGATCAACACGCTGTAAGTAACACTATCAAAATAGCACACCTAGAGTCATCCGTGAATAACACTTTGCCAAGAAACAGCCCTCATAGTGACAGTTTGGAGGAATGTTTTTAGAAAAATACGAAGGGAGGAAGAGCCTCATATTAAGGTCCTGTGAGCTATATCTTGGCCAGTTGCATAGGGGCCCTTAAGTTACACTGAGATTAAAGGGGATCACAGTCTGGGAACCAATCATCATTCATGGATCTTAGGCCTGGAAAGAGGATTGTCAGTGGCAAGAAGTAGGGAGCAGAAGAGGGAGTCAACTGTCTCACAAGAGAGTGCCAACTTCCATTCTCTTTCCAAAGGCAAAGTCATCACTCTGGGATGCCCTTACTGGAATGTGACCTTGAGATTTGATGTATGTACAGAGTGATGTTAGGGTTTGGTGCTGAGACAATGAATTACTAACTCTCAGAAGTCCCTTCTGCAAAAGACTTGTTGGAGACTCCTGTCCCTCTCCACCTTCTCTTCCAGACCCACCAGAAGCCTCCATTTCTGTCTGTCTCCATATTTGCCTCACCTGCACCTGTTCCTTCTCTTTTAGTTAGTATGTATCTCTGGGTGTCTCTCTGTCTCTCCTTCTCTAATAGATATGTCTCCCAGCCCTCCTAGCCTGTCTTGAGCATCCACCTATCTCCCCCACCCCCGCCATGATTTATCTTTTCCTCAATTTTCCCACTCTCTAGCTCTCTTCCTGATTTCTGGATCTCTATGTCTGCCTTGCTCTTTATCCTGCAGAGGGCAATGAGAGGTGGTGGGTGAGGTGATCACTTCACTCAGCTTTTGTCCAGAGGAGAGGAAGGAGGAAGACCCTGATAATGAGGGTGTCCTACCTGCTTGAACTGTTCCTCATAGGTCCACTCAGTGGGATGGGGTCCAGGTAGTTGGCTGGCAGGTGAGCTAGGCCCCTGGGCTCCTGGACAGCTCTCTTCTGGTGCTTCCTCGTCTGCACCAGCTTCCTCTCCTTCCTCCTCTTCTTCAGCACCCTCCTCTTCCTCAACCCCAACCTCACCCAAGGCCCCCTCAGGGGCTTGCAAGGTCCGGGGTCCAAGCAGGGGAGGCCTTGGTGGTGGAGGGCGAGGAGGGGCCAATGGCCCCACCCCTTGGGCCAGCCGGGCTGCCTGCTGCCTCTGCAGAGCCTCCATTACAGCTTCCAGGCGCAGTCCCCCAGCTGTGGGAGTGCCTGACACCAGGCGAGGCCCTGCAGAGAGGGCCGCCTGTGGGGGAGGAAGTTATGGGGGCTGGGTCCTGCTGCCCCACAACCCCATACCCAGAGAGGTACTCATGGATGCAGAGAAATGCAGGGAGGTCATAAAGAAAGAGGCTGAAAGACAGTTTCCTCCAGAGGTGGACAAGGACAGAGGTAGAAAGAGCAGGAGAATCAGCAATTGGACTCAGACCAAAATGGGCGGCACTGACAGGGAGAGAGAGATCAGAGAGGGTGACATGACCAGTGACAGAGAGTGATGGAGCTGTCAGAGACAGAGATGGCATAGAGCCTCTGACAGAGGCAAATATGGAGATTGAGATAGAAAAGAAAAAAGAGACGAAGAGAGACAGAGGTGGAGAGAAATCAAGACAGGCCGAGATAGAAGACATAGAGAAGACTGGAAAGACCAAGACGTGAAAAGATGAGATTGGCAGATACTGAGGAAAGAAACAGGAAGGGTAAGAGATAGAGAGGGGAGAAAAGATGAGATTGGCAGATACTGGGGAAAGAGACAGGAAGGGTAAGAGATAGAGAGGGGAGAGATAAATATCAAAAACCTGAGTGACAGCTCAGAGAAAAGGACAGACAGACAGTGAGGCAGGTGCAAAGAGAGGGGAAGACCTGCACAGCACGAGAGCGACAGTGAAGAGAGGGGGACAGACAAATGAGAGACGGGCAGAGAGAAGCAGTCGGAGGGACAGGCAGAGTCGCAGAGGACTAGAACCGAGGAGGCGCAAACAGAAGCAGCTTGGACAGAGTCCGGGACGGGAGCAGGTAGGTAGAGTGGCCGATCACGACGCCCAGCTGCGCCCTCCCGGGCCCCAGCGCCACACTCACCAGCCTGGCGCGGCCCGCTGTCCCTGGCGTCTCCACGGCGCTCCGCTCGCTCCCCTCGGAAGGCCACTGCCTTGGCTCCGCTGGGCGCGGGGTCCCCAGCCGTGCGCCACGGCCCTTTGCGCTCCTCTGGCCGCCGCGCTCACTCGCTGCTCTGCTGCAGGCGGCCACGGGGGCGGGACCCGAGCGGGGCAGGGCGGGCGGGGCGCCACCCGAGAGGGCCCCCAACAGGTGTCTCCCCAACCCTACCCTCTACACAGCCAGGGGGTATGCCGAGGGAGGAGGGCGCTGAAGAGCTGGCCAGGACACGCAAACCCTCACAAGTCGTGCCTCCCTCATACCTGAACATTCACACGCTGACACACCCTGTCAGTAGTCCAGCCACACAGCTCTCTTCTCTCCCATGTGCCTTTCCACCACTGCATCCATAACCTGAACAGACTGTGTTCCTGGGGGAGTTCACCCTGAGTGGGGGCTGGAGTGATTGTGGGGGGGCCTCCTTAGAACAGAAGTTGATCCTCTTGTCCTGCCTGAGTTTTTCTTCAACTACACACATTATAGTGTCCATGGCAAAGAACACAGACATGCATTTACACACTCACAGCTCTTAACTTCACTAAACAGGATCCTCTGGGCTACACTTCTCAGAAGGATCCCTACACCACACACAGCCAGACACGGGTAGTTTTCATCTGTTTACTTCATTATGAACATTTTCAAATGTATGAAAAAGGAGAGTGAAGCATACTCTTAGTCCAAACAGACTCAGAGCTGACCGTCTAGCAGGTGTTCAGACTGCTCATCTTTCTCCTTGAGGTGGATTTGAACTGCTAGAGAGGCACAGGCCTTTGAGTCAGCAGGACAGCTCCCTATAGATACCATTAGAGTTCCCTGAGAGGAAAGGCAGTGCTTAGAGATAGATGGTAAGATTCCTGTTGAAGAGGTAGGAACTGGCTTGGGGGAATTCCAGTTCTCTTGAGGGGAGGAGGAAAAGGGATTGGACAGTAACTCTTAAAATAAAAGAACCAGTCATAGTACAGTAAACCCACTTTTGTAGTCTAGACTAGGAGGACGACAGCTAAGAAGGGCTGAAGGAATGGGGTAAACCTGCCTTGAACTTGATCTCTCTCCCATTTCATCCATGAAAATGAAAGGCTTCTCCTCACATCTGCACAGAGTTCTTGTCTTGTCCTGATCCCACATGCCCCTTCTACAAAGACAGCAGACAGATCTGAACTTCCGAAGACCAGGGTTTCGTTTACTCAACACAACTTTATTGAATATCTGCTGTGTGCTAGGTGGTGTTGGCCACAGGAGGAGACAAAAAATGTTGTTGTTATAATAGATTTGTAATCTAAGTGAGGGGAATATTTTATACTCAGAGAAATAAAAAGCTGAGTTGTGGGAAAGTGCACAAACTAGAAAGGGAGGGACGTTAGTTATCTAATGAATTGTCCTGAAATTTAGAAGCTTAGAACTATTACAAACTTATTTTAAATAAATTTTTTATATTTTATTTGTGATTTTTTAAGTTTTTTATTAATTTTAATGAAAGTTTACAGAGACTTTGGATTTCAATTCATTCATTGTTGCACTTTTCTCCCTTCCCTCCCCTACCTTTATTTCTGATTTTAATGAAAGTTTATAGAAAAATTAGATTTTCATTGGTCATTACTTATTTTACCCCCCTCTCCACCCTTTCCCACTCCCCCAGTTCACTTTATTTAAAAAAAAAATTCGTTCAGTGTTACACAATTACCTCCCTCTCCCTCTCCCTCAGTCCTCTTTGCAATGTACCTCTTATTCTAGGCTGTTGTCCCATGTATGTCTAATCATATATTCCTTTTAAAAAGTTCTTTCCTTCATCTGTTTCAATGCAGTATTCATTATTTACCCCCCTCTTTTTTTTGTATCTTCCCAACCCCCGTGTTTTAGCGATACTATGCAGTGTTTGTCCTTTTGTGACTAATATATTTCACTGAGCATAATATCCTTGAGGGTCACCCATGTTGTGTAACATTTCACGAGTTCTTTGTTTTTTCAGTGCTTCGTCGTATTCCATTGTGTAAATATACCATAATTTTTCTTTCCATTCATTTGTTGATGGTACTTGGCTTCCACATCTTTACTATTGTGAATAACGCACCAAGAAACATAAGTGTGTATATATCTGGGTGACAGCTCTGGTTTCTTTAGGGTTTATTCCTAATAGTGGAATTTCTGGGTTAAATGGTATTTCTATTTCTAACATTACCCCTCCCCCCATTTTTAAATTTCTAACTTTTTTGGAGAAAATGCCATACTACCTTCCAGAGTGGTTGCACCATTTTACATTCCCACCAGCAGTGAATAAGAGTTCCAATCTCTCCACAACCTCACCAACATTTGTTGTTTGCTGCTCTGCTGAACTTTGCTATTGTTACTGGGGTGGTTTTTAATAGTGGTTTTTAATATTTATATTCTTAAGATCTGTGGGTCAGGAATTTGAGTGGCTTAGCTGGGTAATTCTGGCTTTGTGTCTAGCTTAAGGTTGCAATAAAATTGTTTTCCAGGGCTGCAGTCACATGGAGACTTGACTGGAGCTGGAGGATCTGCATTTAAGATGGCTCATTTACATAGCTATTAGTAGGATGCTTCCATTCCTCCCTAGACTAGACAGACTTCTCCGTAGGGCTACTTGAGTGTCTTCTCAACATGTCCTCACAGAATAAAGAAATAGCAATGCTTTTTTTATGACCTAGTCTTGAAAGTCACACACTGTCATTGCTATCACGTACTATTTGCTGTACAGAGGTAACTCATGGTTGCTGTGATGCTAAACACTGTGACACTGATGTGTCAAATGTAATAATGGTTACCCATGGTGAACAGTGTTTGGTTTGATTAAAACAAGTTTGGAAGAAGGAGTGGCATCCACTTCTGGAATGGCTTGCCTCTGGAAACTCTATGAACGTGGAGAAACAATGAAAGTTACACAAGGGTCCAAGTCTTTCATTCATAGGGTTGCTATGAGTCATCTACAACTCAATGACACCTTACAACAACAATAACATTATTTGTTAAAATACAAAGGAAGAAAAAAAGAGAGAAAAATTTAAAAAAAGAAAAAATATACAGGGGACTCTGGTGGTGGTCTACAAAATTGCAGAACTAAATTTAACTCAAGCTTAGCAAGGAAGAAACCAGGCTTCCCTTGAAGGTGGGGCAGTAACAATTTTTGTGGTTGCATGTCTAAACTAAGATCCCTAGGTGGCACAAACAATATGGTGTTCGAACTCACCTAGTGGTACCACATAAGAAAAGGCCTGGTGATCTACTTCTTTTCAGATGGCAGTCAAGAAAATGCTATGGATTAGTTCCATGAGTCGGGACTGACTGAATGACTGTTGTTGTTATGTGCCGTCAAGTCCCCTGTGACTCACTTGTAGCATCCCAGTGTTGAATGTAGGATCTGAGAGAATGAGAGATTGTTGTTGTTATGTGCCGTCAAGTCACTTGCGACTCATAGTGACCCTATCCTGCTCTATCTTATGCCAACCTCACGGTCTCTGACACACTCATTTCCACCACCCCAATCACAGAATTAAACCATCTCATCTAGGGTCTTCCTCTACTGTGCCAACCCTCTATCCTTCCAAACATGATGTTCCTCTCCAAGGACTGATCCCTCTTTGAAACATGCCCAAAGTATATGCCAGACAAAGCTTCAGAATCCTTGACTTCAAGGAGCAGCCCTGCTTCACCCTTTCTAAGACAAACCTGTTTGTGCTCCTAGCAGTCCATGGTCCAGTCAACACTCTTCTCCAGCACCACAGCTCAAAGGCATCAATCCTCTTTCTATCATCCCTATTCACTGTCCAACCCTCTGATGCATAGCATGTAATTGCGAAGACTATAGCCTGGATCAGGCGCACCTTAGTCTCCAGCCTGACATCATTGCTCTTCAGTACTCTGGAGAGGTCCCTGACAGCTGACTTTAATTAAAAGGTTTTTTGCTTGAATAGCTAAGAAGTGAGCACTGGATCTAGCAATAGCAATGGGAAAGAACAGGGGCTTGGGAACCTAATCCTACATAGAAGGGAGGGATGATGGGAAACTGATACATCCCTGGCAGATGTGTCGGTGAGCCAGAGGCTGACTGAGATATAGGGTAGGAGAAATCCTTCAACGGGTAAGACTTTATAATCTATTCTCAGTGGAGTGGCCCTAGCCAAAGCCTACAGTATAGCTGGTGGTGATGGTGGTGGTGGGGTTAGGATAGCTATTTTCCCTGGGTTTCACACTTACTCAGAGCCATAAATTTCCTCTTCTTTTTATTTCTTCTTATTATTCTTGATGTTATTTCCCAATGAGGATAGAAATGTAGCCATTTGTAGTTTGTTAATGAGAATGTCCAATTTTTATAAAATGTAATTCTTTTTAAAAAAATTTTATTATTTGTGTGTGTGTGTGTGTGTGTGTATACCGTCAAATCAGATCTGATTGGTACAGGAGGAGATTGTCCCTCCTTCTTCAGCAGAGCATCTGGTGGATTTGAACCATGCACCTCTGGGATTGCAGTGCAGCTTCTTGCCACCAGGCCACCAGAGCTAGCCAAAATGTAATTCTTACAAACTGTTTCTTCCAATTTTAAATATACAGGAACTTTAGAAAGGGGAAGTGGCACAAGTCTTACTCAAGCTTAAAACAGGGCTGGGACTAAGGGCAAAATGAGGTGGTGCTAGGACACAAAAATCTGAGGAAGTAAATGCAGAGATCCTAGGAATAAATATCTTTAAAATGTTTGCATACTAGATAGGATCTCTCTTGCCTCATGCCTGTCCTACCTCTACTCTAAGACCAGGTATTGTATGTTCCCCATCTGGAGAGAACTGCCAGAGAAGTGGGCTGAAGAAGATATATTTGTAGGGATAACTCCAGCTCTAAGTGAAGGTGGGTCCCCTAGGAGCCTGTGAAAGCAGATTGCCCTGGGCACAAGCAGTTTAAAAGTGAGTACACACTGCCACCCTGTGGCCACTCAGGGCAAGGGCTTAAATTCTTAGGATTGCTCCTACAACATGGGAATAGCCAAAATACACACTATCTCATCCAGTCTTTGGACATGTTGCTAGGAGGTGCTATTCCTTGGAGGACATGAAGCTGAGAAAGGTGGAGGGTCGGTGAAGGAGAGGAAGATCCTCAACCAGGTGGATCGACATGGTGACTGTTGCAATGGGTTCTTGTTAAAAAAAAGTATGTGGATGGTACAGGATAGATAAGGTTCAGACCTTTTGTCCATAGAGTTGCTTCAAATCATACTTGACTCAACAGCACCTAACAACATCTAGCCTTGAGTTTTTAAAAAGTTATAGCATTCACAATTGTGCTGGAGAGGATCTTATTAAACAAACTGACCCTAAGGCTTTAATTTCAAGTGATTTCTGAGACTTAAGCCTGAGAATGAACTTTCTAGGTGATTAAGCCCCGGTGGCATAGTGCATTGACATGTCCAACTGCTAAGTGGAAGGTCAGTTGTTCATAAGCATCAGTCACTGAGGGAGATCAGAAAGATCTGTGGCTTTGGGAACAGTGATCACTGGGAGTTAGACTTGCAGTGGATTCCTTTGCATACTTGAGTCCCTACAATAGTTGAGAGCCTTATAGATAGGGAAATGAAGACACAAAACAAGGAAGAGGCCTTCTTAAGGTCCCCCAGGAGTTAAAGCTCTTCTTCAGAAACAGAGATGTAGAACTGTTTGATAGATCTTTATTAACATAGAAGGGACAGCAAGGGCAGTGTCTAGAAGCTGTGATGGGGATGGGAGGGGTAGGGTGGTGTAAGTGTGCACAGCAGGCCCTCTCTAGGCCAAGGACAGGCCCCTTGGACTCAGGCCCACCTCTTCAGACCCTTTCCCCAGGGGTGGGAGAATGGAGGGGTCCTAACCTGAGCATTCTCCAAGTTCTTTTGGTTCCCCAGTTGATTTGGTTGTTGGGGAGTAGGAGATAATCCATGGGGCACTTGCATAGCAAGGGAACAAAATTTGGGTAAGGCATATGGTGAGGGCAAGGGAAATGAAGGGGAAGGGCACTGCGGTTGCAGGGAAAGGAGGCCTCCAAAGGGAAGCTCCTCCTCCTCTGAGCCTTTTCAAATTACTGCTAGGTTGAAGAGTCAGACTCAGGAAGAGTGTAATACCCACTCCCTGTCACTAACTCCAGAGCCCTGATTGAGGATGGGGAAACTTTAGAGTGGCCTGAGATAGTGAGTCAAGCTTATGGTTTATGTTTGAACATGACTATTCCCCTTGGTATAAGTGGGTCTCTCTTTCTTAATGGGCGTGAGCACATGATTGCTGCCATACACACAGATCTTAGTATCTGCATGTGAATTCTGTATGTTCCCATGAGTTCCTGTGTTTGGATGTATAAGCATGTATGTCCCTGTTTGTACACTAGGAACTTAGTTATTTGCATGGTATGAATATGTTCCTGTCTGTGTACGTGGGCTCCAGCAAGTGGACACGTGCGGGTCTGCTCGCTCTTGTCCATCCACAGGTCTTCCTTCAGGCCCAACTGGTCAGGGTTCCTGGCCAAAGAGGTAGGTGGTGAGCTCAAGGCGGAGGCCTCGGGCATAGGCGCGAAGAGTATAGAAGAGAGTGAGGAAGTCCTGGGTGCTGAAGACTGTGTCAGCAAGTGCGAAGGCCAGGGTGGATGGGATGACACCTCGACCATACTCCACCATCCATGTGTTTGGCCCCCACTCCACAGCTGTTGCCTCTCCAGGCCCATGCATCACTGTCTCTCCTGGGAAAAAGAAAGCACATTCATGAGAAACCTAGTTCTGCCTCTCTATTGCTGCTACTTCTATGGCCTATTAACTGTCTTCATTGGGGAATGCAGAGGGAACTTCAGGAGAGGAAAAATCCCTATCTCACCAGCTTGGTTTCCCATCCAGGCAGGTGAGAAGCGCAAAAGGCCTTTCCTTTATGTTCACCTATGGAATTGGATGGGTTATCTTTTCTCTAGGGAAAATTATAATGGGTCATTGGGAATGGGGCCAACTTCAGCTCGATCTCACTTCACCTTGGGTCACTGTGTAAAAGTCATGAAAATCTGTATCCTCAAGCCTCCTTCAAGTTAAGCAGAAATCTAGCAACCCTTGGGCTGGCTCTATTAGATATGTTTGCTGTTATGTGCCATCAACTCTGACTCCCAGCGGCCCTATGATCAAACAGATTAATACCTTGCCCTACTGTGTGCCATTTCTCACAATCTTTGCACGTTCAAGCTCACTGCTGCTGCTACTGTGTTACTCTAGCTCCTTGAGGGTCTTCCTGTCTTTCTATGATCCTCTGCTTTTCCAAGCATGATCTCTTTTTCCTCCTGACAACATGTCCAAAGTATGTGAGATGAAATGTCACTATCCTTGCCTCTAAGAGGTACCCTGGTTACACTTCCTCCGAGACAGATTTGTTTGTCCTTTTCAAAGTCCATAGTGTATTCCATACTCTTCCTCAATACTATGATCCACAAGTTGTACTGCTAATGCATGGGACACATCTCTCTCCCCTGTGGCTTTATGAGAGAGAGGTGGCAATCTCCTCTAATGAAATTTACAGCCTCAGAAACACAATAGAGGGTAAGCTATGAGTTGGTCCTGACTCAATGGCAATGAGTGAAGGAGCAATTCTTCAGTCTTTCTTATTCGTTATATAACATTCATATTTATATTAAGCAATTAAAAATACCATTGCTTGAGCCAGGTGTACCTTAGTCTTCAAACTGAGATTCTTTGTACTTTAAAGAGGTTCTTGAAAGAGATTTTTCCAAATGCAACATGTCTTTATTTCTTGATTGCTGCTACCGTGGGTAATGACTGTGGATACAAGTTAAGTGAAATCATTGACAACTTCCATCTTTTCTCTATCTATCATGATGTTGTCTGTGGGGCTAGCAGTGAAGATTTTTGTTTTCTTGATGTTGAAGTATAATTCTTATGCGTCTTCTTCAATAAAGTGCCGTGTATCTTTTTCACTTTCTTGAGAGCAAGGTTGTATCATCTGCACTACACAGGTTGTTGGTGAGTCTTCTTCCAACTTTGATACTACATTCTTTTTCATAGAGTACAGCTTCTCAAATTATTTGTTCAGCATCCTGACTGAATAGGCATGGAGAAAGGATACAACCTTGACGTATACCTTTCCTGATTTTAAAATATGCAGTATTCCCTTGTTTTATTTGAATGATTGCTTCTAGGTTTATATTCTTAAAAGAAACAAAACCAAACCAAACCACTTCATTGCCATCAAGTTGGAATCAATTTATACCTGACCTTCCAGCAGCTTTTCAGAGGCTATAAATGACAAGAGAGAAGACTCCCCATCTTATGCATAAGATTAGAACTGACGATAAAACCTATCAAATGGGGAAATGACAGCCTCTTCAACAAAACTGGATGCTACCTGCAGAAAGCTGAAACAGGATCCACATCTTATACCATACATACACAAAAATCAACTCGAGGTGGATCAGAGACCTGGGAGTAAAGCCCAAGACCATAAAGTTCATCAAAAACAAACCAGGATCAAGCTTAGATGGCCTAGTCTAAGGTATAAAGATTAGAATTGCCAGAGGTATGGCTTTTGGGTCAGGACAGCAACTTTCAATGGAAAGATGTGTGAGGCTTCTAAAAAAATGCAGTTATTGAATCCCAATGCCAGCCATGCTTGTATCAATCAATCTCAATTTTACCTGAAAGTCTAAAGCTCACCTTTCTATATAAATGCTTCTTTATAAAAGTAGGGGGGTGGGAAATAAGATAGCTAGCCTTGGGAGTATGAAAACATTTCTAATTATGTAACTCTCTCTTCAATCGTTGGCGTACTCATTGGCTGAATAAAATAAAGAGTGCCTAAAACAAAACAAAATGAAGGGGGGGAAAATCCATCAAACACACAGGATCCTGTAGGATTCCCATGTCCTAGGTACAGAGCAGAACTGCCCCATAGCATTTCCAAGCAGACAGCCACATCATCTTCCTCTAGAGCTTCTGGTGGGTTAGAACTGCCAACTCTTTGGTTGTTTCTGCTATGTGCTATTGAGTTGCTTGTGACTCATGGTGACCCTATGTACAATAGCTCTGAACCCTGCTCTAGCCTGAGACCAAGTCAATCCTTCTCATCAAGGGTCTTCCTCTCTTGAGCTGTCCCTCTACCCTCCCAAGCATGACCTCCTTCTACAAGGACTGATCCCTCCTTGCAACATGCCCAAAGTATGAAAGTATGTCAGATGGAATGTCAGAATGCTTGCCTCCAAGGAGCAGCCTGGTTTCCTCCTCTCTAGGATGAACCTGTTTGTTCTCCTAGCAGTCCATCGTATTCAATGCTTCTCTCTAGTACCACAGCTCAAAGGCATCAATTTCCTTTCTATCATCCCCAGTCATTGTCCAGCTTTCTGACGCACAGCAAGAAATTGTGAAGACCATGGCCTGGATTTGCACCTTAGTCTCCAGACTGACATCGTTGCTCTTCAGTACTCTGGAGAGGTTCTTGACAATACACTTTCTCAATGCAAGTTCTCTTTTGATTTCCTGGCTGGTGGTACCAAGAGCTGATTGTGGAGTCAAGCTGACTGAAGCTGTTAACAATCTCAATCTCTTCACCATAAATGATGATGCTGCCAATGAGCCCAGAGGTGAGAATCTTTGTTTCCTTGATGTTGCGCTTCAATCCATTTTGAAGGTTGCAGTCCTAGCAGCTTAGGTATCACTAGAACTACTGAAGACTGTCTAGGCAAATTAGAGACATGTTTAGTAGAAGTTGTGATGCTTGTTTCCCTTTGAGGAAAGCAACAGGGGACCTCAGCCCTGCCCTAAATAACCACCTGTGGCTTAGCTGGGCAGAAGGGAACCGTGTAAAGGACCCTTCAACACGACCCTTTCCCATCACCATGACTCCCTCACCCAATTATGGGCACATGCAGGGTGAAGGGATCCAACTCTTTGACCAAGTCTTTCTACGCACCTGGATAAAAGACCTCACTTTTGGTGGTACCTTCTCTCCACTGGTGGAAGGTTCCAGAGATGATGGTGTCTGAGATCTCAGCCCAATAGCGCCCTGAAGGATAATAAGAACAACATCAAATATCAGGGTATCCACGCCATCACATGGCCTTACCAAAGATCAGAAATGAGGGCATGGCCCAATCTCCCAGTCCCACCTGCCCTCAGCACTGACCAGAGTGGCCGCGGGAGCCCAGGGCGGTGCCGAAGAGCAGCACGTACTCAGACAGGGAGGCGTGCAGAAGGCACATGGCGCCCATCCAGCCACCGGCATTCACAAACACCCACTGCAGTTCCTCGTCCGGCAGCACGTGGCCTGGGTGCATTCGCCGCAGCTTCACAATCAGCCGAGAGAAGGCCAGTTCGTGGTCCAGACCTGGCGAGAGACAGATATGAGTGGCGGAGTTAGGCCAGCACCAGTTCTGAGCTTGGGGACTGCATCCCGGACCCGTCTGCTTCCCGATCTGCCCTGTGGGTTCACCCTGGCTCTTCTCTGCTGTCCTGCCCCCTCTCGCCGCCCCTCGATCGCTCACCCGCATACTGTCGTGCCAGCTGCGCGATCTCTTCGTGATCGAAAACGAAGCTCTGCGTACCCAGCCAGAGCCAGACGACTTGGGCCAGCACAGCGGTGGCCGCCAGGAGCAATGCGGCCCTTGCCCACCGCCGACCCACAGCCCACTGCATCCCGGCGGGCGGCTTGGCACAGCGCGGCGCAGGAGGTGACGCGAAGTGGCGCCCAAGCCTGCGATGCTGTTACTGCCTCCAAGACAGCAGCGCGCTGTCGGCTACCTGCTTCGCCGCCACCACTGTGGTATGGCTCGCCCTGGCCAATCAGAATGGCCGAGGCACCCGGGCCCCGCCCCTTGGGCCGAACCATTTCCTCGCGGGGAGAGCGAGAGGAGGGGCGGCGCGCTCACTAGTGGGTAAGGGGCGGGGCCAAACCCTCTACACTTGGGGTTGGAGTCTGCAAGGGTGTCTGCTAACGCGATGCTACATGGAGATTGTTTGGCAACCGAGAGGCCGAGAGTGGACTTAGCCCTCTACATCCATTGTCTAGTGAGGCAGGCGATCCCGGAAGTGGAATCTTCAACTTGGGGATGCGGGAAGGGCTGGCAGGGTAGCAGTCTCTTTAAGATGGGAACTTCAGAGTGAATCACACGTAGATGATGTTAAATTTGGCAATGAATACTGGTGATACGTGGACAGCCGTCTCTATGTAATTGGTATCACCGAATTGTAAACATGAAAAATGTAGAATTGGCAAATATAATTTGTTGTTGGTGATTGCCGTCGAGTCTAGGTCGACTCATGAATAAAAGACCTAATGACTTTCCATAGCTATCATTGTTTCTCCAAGTTCATAGAGTTTTCAGAGGCATGCGGCTTAGGAAGTGGATGCCACTTCTGCTTCCCAGCCGGTTTTACAACTGGGAGCTCCACCAAACACTGCCCACAATGGGAAACCATTATGATATTTGATATCCCCATGGCACAAGGGTCTGCATCAGAGCAAACACAGGTTATCTCGTACAGCACATTGACAAAAAGTGATGTGCAAAGTAGAAGAATGTTCCTCCAGATATAACAGCACTACTCTCATTGAGCAGTGGTTAAGTGTTGTCAAGTCGAATATGACTCAGTAAGCCTTGCACAAAAGACCTGAACACTATTCTATAATTAACATAATTTCTGTACATTTGTAAGAGAGTTTGTAGGGTTTCCAGAGGTATCTAGGAAATAGATGCCACTCCTGCTTCCCAACACGAATCAATCTGGAACCGAATCCAAACATTGTACATAATGGGTAAACCATTATTGTGGTATTTGACACAACTATGGAATAGTGTTCAGGATCACAACACTCCAAGTTGTTTAGTACAGCAAATAGACAAATGATTGCTGTGTCTTTAAAAGAATATTCTTCTAAAATTAATAAAGTCACACCATCGCACCTTTGCCCTTAGTCTAAGGCTCTAGGCCACCTACTTTTGAGGGAGAAAAAACAAAACAAATCAGTAACACATAACAAAAGGACCCCAGAAATTTCCCTTGCCTGACTACCACCAAGACGAGACCACCACAAATATCTAGTATTCGTAAAACATGTTTTAGTAATTTACTAATAAGTAAATTTAGTAATTTAGTAATTCCTAGCGAGTTGCTCTGGTAAGCCAAAGACAGCGCTTCTCCTTTCCTGGTTCGAATCCACCGCGAGCTTTGTGGCTCTTTTCCTGTTATAAAACTCAAAACTTATTGCCCTAAAATCGGCACCAAATAATTTCTGGTCCTCCACTGGATTTCCGAGGCTGTAAATCTTTGCCAACCCAAAAAAATGGTAGGTGGTTCAAATCTGCAAGCTGCTCCACGATAGAAAAAAAAAAAAAGCAAAAAAAAAAGCGCAATCTCCTGCCTTGAGATTACAGCTTCTGAAAACTCACGGGAAGGTCAGCTATGAAGTTGGTTCTGACTAGATGGCAGTCAGTGTGTGTGTGTGTGTGTGTGTGTGTGTGTGTGCTGCAATCAAGTTGACTACCATTCATAACGACCGTATGAACAACAGATCTGAACCCTGAAGATCCCCAACATCCTCTGCGCCATTCTCACCGTTTCTGATACACTGGCACTCATCATTACAGTCATTGTGTCAATCCACCCTGTTGTGGATCTTTCTCTTTCTCTGATCCTCCACTTTGCAAAACATGGTATCTTGTTCTAAGAACTGGCTGCTCCTGACAACATGCCCAAAGTACGTGAGACAAAGTTTCACCATGCCTGCTTCTAAGAAGCACCCTGGTTGAATTTCTCCCAAGACAGATTTGTTTTTTACATCGGTACTCTCCTCTCTAACACCACACTTCAAAGGCATTATTCTTCTATAATCCTTATTCTTGTTCAACTTTCAGATGCATAGGAAGTGATTGAAAACACTATGGCTTGGAACAGATGCATCTTGGACTTTAAACCGACTTCATTGGAAAAAAAATTTGTTGGAATGGACTCCACAGCAAGGAGTTATAAATATATATTTGTTTCTGCTTGGAAGCAGTTACTGGGATTTTTTCTTCCCCAAATATTTTTTTATTATCTTGGATGCAGCAGTTATTGTTTAATTAATATTAATAATTGACATTTTAGTTCATCCTTTTAATAAGCCTATTGATCTGGTTTTCTTTTTTTTTATTTTATTTTATTATTTTTGTAAGTGTACTGTCAAATCAGATCTGACTGGTACAGGAGGAGATTGTCCCTCCTTCCCTGGCAGAGCATCTGGTGGCTTTGAACCGTGTGCCTCTGGGATTGTAGTTGCAGCTCCTTACCACTGGGCCACCAGAGCTCCCCTTGATCTGGTTTTCTTGTTGCCACATTCCTACTTTCTACAAAAGGAGTGGTCTTTTTCTTCATTCTAACTCCTGGAGAATATAGTTTGAAAGGTCACAGGCTATTTGCTTCCTTGAAGCATCCTGCAATAGCATCACTCATTTCACTCATGGCCATTGAGTCAGAACTAACTCATGTCTGACCTTTCAGTGGTCTTTTAGAGGCTTCAAATCTCATGGGAGGAGATTGCTCATCTTTCTATCATAGAGCAGTTGGTGGACTTGAACCTTCTGCCTTTGGGTTGGAAGCACAACTCTTTATTCACTAGGCCATCAGAACTCCCTTCTCAACAGTATAGATCTCATGAATCAGATCCTCTAAGTGATGCCATATTAACCAAAAGATTTCACAATCAGATAAAAACAATGATGAGGTAACATCTCACGCTGGCAAATATGACAATGTTCAATAAGAGCAAACACCAAATTCTGGCCATGTTGTAGAGAGATTAGAGCTCTCATACACTGCTGGAATGTAATATGGTGCAACCATATGGAAAGCAGTTGGTAAGTCCTTAGAAAGTTGGGAATAGGGAGCTCTAGTGGCCTATTGGCAAGAAGTTGTGCTGCAATCCTGAAGGCACATGGTTGAAATCCACCAGGTGCATTGCTGGAGAAGGAGGAGCAATCTGTCCCTGTGCCAGCCAGATTCCACTTGACAGTACACAACAAGGGAACACACACACACAGAGAGAGAGACACAGAGACTTAAAAGAAAAAAAGAAAGTTGGGACTAGAGATACCATTTGATCTAACAATTTCAATCACTCATTGCTGTGGAGCTGTAACCAACTCATGTTGTTGTTGTTATGTACCATCGAGTTGAAACCGACCCATAGCTGACCATCTGGGGATTTTCAGAGGCAGTTAATTGCATGAGAGGAGATTGCCCATTCTTCTCTTGAAGAGTAGCTGGTGTTAAACCTCATGCCTTAGGAATTGCAGCTAAGCTTCTTGCCACTAGGCCCTCATAGCTGATCCCCAGTGGGTTTGCAAAGTGTAAACCACATAGGCAGAGATTACCCTTCTTTTTCCCTAGAGGCTCTTAATGGATTGGAACCACCACCAAGACTGTCTTTGGTTTAGCAGTGCAACTCCTTACAGACTAAACCACCAGAGCTCATTAAAAATCCCATTTTTGTTGTTATGTGCCATCGAGTTGACTACAACTCATAGCAACCCTATCAACAATAGCTCTGAACTCTGCCCTATCTTGAGCCAATCTCACTATTTTTGACACACCTGCCTTCCCATTGCCATGGTCATTGTGTCAATACATCTCATCCAGGGTCTTCCTCTTCTGTGCTGACCCTCCAACACTTCCAAGCATGATGTTCTCCAAGAAATCTCACAACTGGTTGTATATCCTAGAAACTGGTCACTCCTAGCAACATTCTCAAAGTATGTGAGATGGGGCTTCAAAATCCTTGCCTTAAGGAGCAACCTGGTTTCACTCTTTTCAAGACAGAACTGTTTGTTCTCTTGGCAATCTATGGTATGTTCAACACTCTTCTCTAGCACCACTATTTAAAGACATTGATTCTTCTTGTTGTCCTTATTTTTTTAAATATTTTTATTGGGAAAAACATATTGGGGGTACAAGGAGGTGAGGGTTGGGGGCAGAAGGGTGAGGATGGGCCAGGATGCAGTTGCAGAGCTGCACAGTTTGGTCGGTGGGGGGAGCAGGTGAAGGAAATGATGAGGGTCCAGTGGGGACCAGATGCTACAGAGGAATGACAAGCATTTTCCAATAGTAATTAAACCAACTGTCTTATTGATTTGGGAATTAGATGCCGACTCTCTGGCTTCTTCATGCTGAACAGGGGCATAGATATAAAGGGGGGAAGGGAGGACGCTTTATCACCTTACTGGTGGTCTTGGGTTACAGCTGCTTGCCTTTTTGCTCCTGAGGGCCGCGACGGTTCGCCCCGAGCCAGGGGCCAAGCGCAGCCCGCCCCGGGCAGAAGGCCACGACGGCTCGTCCCGGGCAGAGGGCCGAGGGCAGCCCGCCCCGGGCAGAGGGCCGCGACGGCTCACCCCAGGCAGAGGGCTGAGGGCAGCCCGCCCCGGGCAGATGGCCGTGATGGCTGAAGTAGTCTTTTTTTAAAAAAGAAGAAGGAAAAGTGTGTGAGTGTGTGTGTGTGTGTACCGTCAAATTGGATCTGATTGGTACAGGAGACTGCCCCTCCTTCTCCAGCAGAGCACGAAGTAGAGTCTGGGTCCCCCCCCCTCCCCAGGTGCCTGTCAGGGCCTGGGTTTCAGATGTCCATACCACAGCAGTGGACAACGAGCTTAAAGCCCCTGATGGCTCTGGGCGCTGACTCTCACCAGTAGCTA